TAGGGTTTGATTGTTTAGAGTTGTTAGGGTACTTGGCTTAGAATTGTTATGATTTAGGGTTTAGAGTTGTTATGGTACTTGGCTTAGATTTGTTAGATTTGTTTATGGACTGTTTATTTTCTTATCTTAGTATTGGGTTTAGGATTGTAACTGTTTCTTTACTTTATTGTGTGCTTGCAGGTTTGGGCGTGACAAGTCTTCCCTGACTCGGAAGATAACAAAAATTTTCTGTAACAAGTTCGATGGCCCATTTTATAGCTGGACATGTGTGCCTCGGGAGAGACAGGAAAGATTCTTTATTGAATTCGCGGTAAGGTTCTCTATCCATACTCCTTTTTTGTGTTGATACATATGAGCCATTTGTTTTTTATTGCTCACTAACATCATCTTCTCTATTTTTTTGGTAGAAAACCCACACTTGGGATCCTTTATTAACCGGTGTGGTTCAAGAAAGGTTTGAGAGAGTATGTCTCCTCCGGATGAAAGACATGGTCAGCAAGGTTAGGGCTTCTCGAGAACAACCAAACTGGATTGGAGATACCACTTGGAAACAAATGACAAAGTATTGGGACACTGAAGAAGCCAAAGAGAAGAGTTCCACCACATCAGCTGCTCGGATGTCTGAGCGTAATGGACTTGGTCCTCATGTTCACTTCTCAGGGCAGAAGTCATGCCTCCAAATCCAACAAGAAATGGTAAGTATATCAATTTTTAACTTTCTCATAAGTTATATATCATCTTTAGTCAGATGGGAACTAACTCTTTCTTTATATTGTTATCATTTCAGGAAGAAGAGTTGGGAAGACCGGTGAGCCTTGGTGAAGTTTTCATCAAGGTTCATACAAAACGAGATGGAACATTTGTAGATCAAAAGTCCAAGACTGTGGCTGAGGCTTATAGGAAGAACCTGGAATCCAAGTTGGCAACTCGCGGGATAGACTCAGAGACTTCAGATGGTACTTCACCATCGTTGGGGCTAACCATAGAAGAGGAGAATGAGATTTTTCTTCAGGTAAAGTCTTCGTTTTTTATTTTTGATGTGTTCTTTTATATTATGCTTTGCTTCTATAGCTTTCAAGTTGTTATTTTGTTTGATGCTTTGATGTTAATATATATGCATTGATGCTTTGATCCTTATTTTGTTTTTGCAGTCGACTTTCATAAATGAGCGAGGTATTCCTTATGGAATTGGAAGTCTTTCAGAGACACATGTCAATGGAAAGAGGAAAAGCCCATGAAGCTCTTCAACATACAAGGGATTGGAAGAGCAGCTACAAGAAGCTCATCGCAAAATAGAAGAACAAGCGGCTGAGAACTCCAAGCGTGAAGCAGAGCAACAAGCCAAGCTGGACAAGTTATCTATGGTGGAGAAGTATTTGACTGAAACTGATCCAAAGTTCATGGATTTTTTGGCTGCAAATCAAACTCTTCCAAGTGATCAAACTCACTCTTAAGGTTTTTCTATGTCTCTTTTTTAAGTATCTCGGCTCACTCTTTTGAACTTATCTCAATGGTTAAGTATGTAACCATTTGATCTTTGTTTAGTACCTTTTGGAACAATGGTTTTATGTCTTTTTTTAAAACAATGGTATTATGTAATATAATGACTTTTTGCATTTTGCATTTGAATATTTTTTTGCTGTTAAATTGTTATTTAAAATGTAGAATGGATTCAAATTATCAGATTTGGAAGAATCTAATCGTAAAACTAGATTTTGTTTTCATTTATTGAAGCCGTCGCAATGCAGTCGTAAATCAGTCGGAATACAGTCATAAATACGTCGCAAAACAGTCGTTAAATTGCACCAAATATCATTCAATTATCGAACCATATGGTCGCCATTCAGTCGCAAATACGTCGCAACAACAGTCGTCAATCAGTCGCTAAGGTAACGACTACTTTGCGACTGATTAACTTCGTCAACATTTAGTCGTTATTCAGTCGGTATTTGGCGACTGATAGGCGACTAATTGATTTAGCGACTCAATATTAACGACTGATGCTATTAGTCGGAACTCGATCGTAAATTTAGTGTTAGCGACTAATTAGCAATTATATATGAGGTCGCTAAATCTTTGTTTTCTTGTAGTAATAGCCTCAATGTATCTGTTCTTTGTATGACTAAAGTAATTGGTTCTTGTTTTGTCTAGAGAAATTGCATAATGAAGGATGATGCATTAATAATATCTTCAAGCATGGACACAACATACTAATGTTGAGATATGTTAATTAAATTTGTGTGTTCTGTTTTGCAAATTTTAAGCTCTGTGGTTGGAATTTTCAATGTGTAACAGACCAGAAATAAAAAAGTTAAAAAAAAAAATACAATCATTAATAATTTAATATACGAATTTATAATCATAACTCATAAGTTGGAGACTCAATTTCATTTGGTGTGGTAAGGAAACGCAAAATTTTATCTTGTGTAATTTTGTTTTTTGTATGGTCTTTCTTTACAAATTTTAAACTTTGTGGTTAAAATTTCTACGTACATAAAATACTCGTTTTATTTAGGTGAATAAAATATATTAGATGCCGTGAGAATTCTTTGCCTTCTCTGGTTCATCACCTACTTTGAGTTCCTCTCTTCCCGACGACAAGCAAAGCAAGTAATGAATCAAAACCTGTAACCCTATTTCTGATCAGCTCTTCCTTCCCTCTCTCATGGCCACTCTCGTCGTCTGAATCAGGCACTTCTCCAATTTCTCTGAGTACGCGGATACGACTCGTTGTTTCGTGAGTGTTAATTTGTGTGTTCGACGAACTTTGATCCTTTTCTTGATCGTCTTGATATAGATGTGCGTAATTTCAGATTGAATCTCTGTTTTGGATTTGATTCAACGGGCTTAGTAATGATATCACGGTGGTTCTGTTTTAGCCTCATTTTCTGTTGAATTCGCGTAGGGTGTGGAGGGAAGATTTTTCTGGGAAATTTTCGAATTAGGGATTTGAATAGGCTTTATTATGGATGGTAACAAAGATGATGCGTCGAGGTGTCTGAGAATCGCCGAAGACGCCATTGCTTCTGGTGATAAGGAACGGGCATTGAAATTCATCAGGATGGCAAAACGGCTTAATCCAAGCCTCTCCACTCATGACCTTACTGCTGCTTGTGACAATCTTGATTCAGTTTCAGGGAATCCATCTCTTAGTGAAAAGCTCAAATCTGTGGATAGTGATAAGCTTGAGTCTAGGAAGACTAACGACAAGATGAAATATACTGAGGAAAATGTGGAATTGGTTAGGCATATAAAAAGGAACAACGATTACTACACGATTTTGGGTTTAGAGAAGAACTGTTCTGTTGAAGAGATCAGAAAAGCTTATAGGAAGCTGTCATTGAAAGTTCACCCTGACAAGAACAAGGCACCGGGTTCAGAGGAAGCCTTTAAGAAAGTTTCCAAAGCGTTTACTTGTTTGAGTGATGGTAACTCGAGAAGCCAGTATGATCAGGTGGGGTTTGTTGATGAGTTCGATCATATCCAGAGGCAGAGTAATCGCAGGCCGAGGAGGAGATATAATGCGCGTAATGACTTTTTTGACGATGATTTTGATCCCGACGAGATATTCAGGGCGTTTTTTGGTCAACAACGAGACATGTTCCGTGCTCCCCATGCTTTTAGGACTAGACAAGCGCGTAACCAACCCCGAGAGGAGGAGCCTGTTGTGGTTGGACCTAGTTGTTTGACGATTATTCAGATTCTACCATTCTTGCTGCTTTTGTTGCTTGCTTATCTACCCTTTTCTGAGCCCGACTATTCTCTGCACAAGAACCAGACTTATCAGATACCAAAGACGACACAGAATATGGAGATTAGCTTTTATGTTAGATCATCACCAGCCTTTGAAGAGAAGTTTCCGCTCGGTAGCTCTGCTCGAGCTAGCCTTGAGGGCAACGTTATTAAAGAGTACAGAAACTTTCTTTTCCATTCCTGTCGCATTGAGCTCCAAAAACGGCGGTGGAACAAGAAGCCGCCAACCCCTCACTGCAATGAGCTTCAAGATCGTGGATTTGTTGATAGGTAACAGCTTTCTTTTTTCCTCCACATTGTTTTACATTCTGTCACGTACTCGTTACTTGTGATCCCCACGTACAATGTTTACTAAGCTCCTCCACAGTTAGAAGGCGAAATGTTTAATCTATTAGATCCTCACGAGTGAAGTGACACAAATCAACCCTGAGAACCCATACATTTTTTTTGGGGCAAAAGCTAATGTTAGATTTTTGATGGTCACGCAATAATTATTGATGTTTAATCCTTTGTTTTCTTTGACACAAAGCAGGCAAATACCGACATGATATCAGCTCAAGATTGTCCAACATGTGATGAAGACTGCCGGATTTTGATGTTTTAGAGGTTCTTGGGACTGAACGTGTAAACTGTAATGTGTCATATGTGTAGGGAGGATAACGATAATCTCTTTTGTTTTTTTTTTTTTTTTTTTTTTTGCATATGGATTTTTAGATAAAAAAATACCTAGGAGAATACTGAGAACAACAAAGAAGAAAGTCCTGGCAAGTCTCAGGTGACAACAGAGGTACCACTTGCTATACTCATACTATAGTTGAAAACACATGGAAATTTGAGTCCAACAAGTCTCTTTAGAAGATGCAGCAAATAATTGTTCTATTACTTTTTTCTATATGACACAAGGCTTTGATTTTGTTTCAATCAGATATTGCTCTATGGCTAGATTATGAAAGTCATGAAGAATTGAAATTTCAGGGATCATGTGAAGAGTAACCTATCACATTCCAATTTCTTAGTGGGTGAAAATGAGATCAAACTAAATTCCAAAACCTGTGAAAACTGGTCTGGTCTTTGTGTTAATTGAGAATGAATTCAAATCACTCAGAGCCCTCCTAAGTTCTATCTTCAAGGTTATGTTGCTTGCACAAGCTAGCCCGGTCTGATATTAATAGAATCAGGTACGTCTACAGGATATGATTCAATAAAGTCGAGCCATTTGTTTACTGTATCGGGCTCCACATCTCGGATACATCTCCACACCGCACTGTTACACTTGAACCCACTTCCAAATGCAATCTGCAAAACCCTATCGCCTTTTTTGATTCTCCGTTTTGCTTCCAAGTAAGAGAGTGCATACCAAATGGATGACGAAGAAGTATTCCCAAACCTATGAAGAGTCATCTTTGATGGCTCGATGTCTTCTTTTGTCAAGTTCAGGTTCATCTCCATTGCTTGAATCACAGCTCTTCCTCCTGTATGGATGCAGAAATGCTCAAACGCTGTCTTGAAGTTTGGTGTATAGAAAGAACTCGCTTTAAAGATCTTTAGTTTCTTGCAAAGAATGTTCTGTATCACATATTGCAATTGCTCTAGGTAAGGTAGTACCAAAGGTCCCAGTGAAACTAGATTCATCTTCAGCACATCTCCAGCCACGCTGATTACATCTTTGGTTATCTTCACCCCTTGCTTCTCCTCATAGTCTATGTCTTGATAGATACATCGGTATGCTCGATCATCTTTCGCTTTATTTGTCCTAACAACATGCAAGAGCTCATACTTTGCATTTCCTCTGTCATGATCGTTGCTAGACATCAACACTGCAGCTGCTCCCATTCGAAAGAGACAGTTGGTAAGAAGCATAGATCTGTCTTTGCCAATATACCAATGTGTATTCAGCGCTTCGGTGCTGACAATAAGAGCCAATGAGCCTCGGTGAACCTTTAGCAAGTCGTTAGCCAAACCAACTGATAGAACCCCAGCCGCACAACCCATGCCGGAGAGGTTAAAGCTCTTGATATTGCTTCTCATATGGAACTTGTTGATCACCATTGCACTAAGAGACGGTGTAGGCGCATGCAAACTGCAGTTTGTTATGAGTACATCTATGCTTCTTGGGTTTAGTTTGTTTTTCTTCAGAAGATCCTCAACAGAGGTGAAGAGAGTGGTCATGGCTTCGATTTGGACCGAGGAGAGAGATTTCTTGAGGGGTATTTCCGTCAACGAAGGAGGAATGCTGGTTTGGTTGCTTAACCAGGACCTCTCAAGAACCCTGGCTTGGAAATCGATGCTCTCTTGATCAATATTGTCATCGAGGTAGATGGTTTCGAGAAGAGTAGACATTGGGATGCGGTTTGAATCAGGTGCTCGGTAACAAGTGAAATCAAGTAAGTAGACTTTGGCTCTTCTCCTAATTCTTTGGTAGATCAAATGCAATACTAGTAAAACGGCAAAGATCTCAAAGATCGAACCACCTGAGCTGAGAAGCGTCTTCAGCTCTGACATGGTCAAGGAGATTGGTGAAACTCTTTGTATGGTTTGGTTCATTTCACTTTATCCTTTTTAAAGTTAAGATTTTTCATGGAATTTTGATTCGGCCACTATGGTGGCTTACATGAGATATAAGAGAGAATGAAATTATCATGTGGAAGTTGTTGCAGAGGGTTTCACTGCGCTTGGTAATGCTAATTTTTTCAGCATTCTTTGTGTGCTTTTGCGACAAGTAGTCTCAACACGTCTTCTTGCTTTTCTGATTAGCTAGGTTCTAACTTGGGTCGTGTCTCGTGTGGTAAGCGTTTAGGTTTAACCAGCCAGGTATTAGTTAATCTCTTGTAGATTTTCCTTAAGAAAATTTGGTCTAGGGTCCTCTAGTTTGAATGAAAAACAAATTATTGTACTCTATTATTTAGGAAAATCTATAAAAGAAAATAATTGTTTCTTGTACTAGCTTTTTAAGTAGCTGAAAAAAAAAATCAAATTGCATTAAAATGTAAAAAATGATTAAGTATGCAGATTTTCAGGAGTATAATACTCCATCCGTTTCACAAAGAGTGTTGTTCTGACATTTTTTTTTTTCAAAAAGAATGTCGTTTTAGAATTCCAATGTAATTTTTAACCTTAAAAAATTCAGAAAATTAATTATAAATATGATTCTAATAGTCATTTTCTCTGTAAATTAAAAAGGGTATAAGAGACATTTTATTTTATTTTTTAATTTGTGTGAACAATGTCAGACGACAATTTTGGTGCTTCTGGGTTCGTTGTAATCCGTTTAATTTGCATCAATCTAAACTGTCCAATCAACAATTGTCGTGTTTAATTATATCGGTTTAAAACATTTACACTTTGGGAATATCAAATTATTTCTTATCTTCTAGATACACCAACAAACGAAAGAGGATAGGGCCAGATAGTTTGTAATCTTATTATTGTGCTTTAGAAAAAAATGCAAATTTTCATGAAGAGAATTATTTAAAATCTGACAAGCTGAGGGGTCCAAATCAGGAAAATATCGTACACTTTTTTTGTAATGTTGTGTTACTTTCTTACGAATCATTACACTCCAAAAGATGAAATTTTAATGGGTGAATTTGGGACAGTAATGGGAATTTGACGAACAAAAGAAACATACTCATGGTAGCTTAATCCGCGTATTAGTCTGGGTCTTTCCCTAATTAATTAATGAAGGAGTTTGACAAAACCCCAAAAAAAAATTGATGAGAACGACACGGTGTTTTTAGGGAACGGGGATAAACTGCATGTCGTCCTTAAAATAAGTAGCAGAAGAACATCATGCTTTTCAGGTTCTTGGCCATCATTAATGACAAGTAGGTTTCGGAAAATTACAGACACATTAGATTCTGTGGTTAGCTTTGGGCAATAACTATGAAAATGAAAGACGAAACTCACAAGGCAACACATGAGCATGAAGTCATAGAGGTATTAAATGAATAAGGTTTGACCCATCATGAACAGTGTTTATAGACCCCGACATGTTCATGTCACAACATGATTGAATCGGATGGGTCAGCAAAGCAAAACCATTAAATTCTCCGTGGTAGAATTATCAAATCTATGGACTTTAAATACTTGTTAAGTTTTGTTATTACCTGATTACACTCATCTTCGGAGTATTGAATCCTTCTAGAGAGTGTCGAGTAAGTGGACCTTGATTCGTTCAGATTACGACTTCTACTGTTTGATTACTTTGTTTTTGCCTTTACATATATTATAATAAATGTTTTTATTTCAAAATGAAACTGCACTGGTTGTGTTATTGTAAAAGCAATAGCCAAACGCAAACGACGTAAATGCATTTATGGACGTCTTTTTATGGAAAAAACTTCCCAAACAACTTATTATATAAAAATGTATGTTAGTTTTGATTTTTTTTCCTTCACATGCATCTGTATAAATTTGCATTCAATTCAGCCTACATTTTTCTCAAAGTCATAGGACTCATATAATTTTAGACAATTATGATTCATGCTAAATCTCCACAAAACAACAATTCATTACAACTTACTTAAAACCAAAAGAAAAATTCATTACTGCTTAAAAGTATTTGCTATCGGTTTTATGGATCTAGGCTACAATGTCTTTTTTTGTTGCGTCCGCGTTTCAATGTTATAATGAATCTTGTCTAGGCAAAACATTTTCATGCTTGTGTGGCGATTTCTTGGCTCTACTAAAAAGATGGAGCAAGTTGAGAACAGGGCTACTAATTTAATGGAGATCTTGATCTCTTAAACGATCCTACTAAATTGATCTAATGACACATGATCAGCTTTTAAATAAACTATTATACATAATTTTGGTCTTTGGAACATGTATAAGTCCACATGGAAAAATACAAGTGCTTATAAAAGAAAAGAGTTAATGAGAAGGAGGTCCTTTTCTTTTCGGCTTTGCAGAATCCTTCATATGTAGTTTCATCTCATGGACCCCCATTATGTCCTCCTCTTCTACACGTTATATAATAATAACAAAATCATCTGTTTTTCATGTCGTTGATCCACTTAACAATATCAATGTGAAACCAAAATTGCACTGTTTTGATTTTAAAGATTAGGTGATCACTATCAGTGATGTATGTAGCAGTACAACCGTTGTTTATGTCTTAATTTTGTGGGTCACAAGAGATGTTTATTAAGGAAAAAAGAAAATTTTTGGGGACCATGGAATCATAATGCATGTGCAAAGGCATGTGGCTTTTGATTCACTCATTTAACACAATTTAATACAAAACTCACACTTAAAAGCCAGTCAAACCCCAAAAACTCCCCTTTGACTGGCTTTTCCAGTGATTTTTTTAAATTTTACTAATTTTCTACGAAACACATCTTAATCACAACCTAAAGCAAGACAGATGGTTCAATTAAGTAGAGATTAGAGAAACAAAATTAAGGATTAGAATAATCAAGAGGAAAAGACAAACGAAACAGAAGAAAGTAACCCAAGTATCCTAAGTTCCTCTTTCCTTGTTTGACAGAAGATGATAATTAACATATAGAAAAATAGTGTGACATTACAAATACACTAAAATCGGATTTCAGTAACAAACAAGGATTAAACTAGTTTAAACGTATTTCTCTTGTTTAAGATATAAAAAAACACTTATTGCAACGCAAGATTAAAGATTTTTTCTTTTCTGAATTCAACTTCTGACGGCCAGCAATGAAGGAATTGCATCCAAGTTTGGGGTTGTGTTCTTGCTTGTAGAATCTGAAATTGTACGGCCTCTTTTACCAGAGGAAGAAGAAGAAGTGAAAGCTCTCATTGGACTTGCAAATGCCCATCCCCAGCTTCTGTTCCTTCCACCATGAGCCATGTTTTGATGATGATGATGATGATGTTCAGCTGATGATGATGATACCCATGATGATGATGATGAGGAAGATGAAGATGACGTCATTATCATAAACCCACCAAAGATTCCACCACATCTCACCATCTCCCTCACACCACCACCACCATTGCTACTAGGGTTACTAACTTTACCTTTGTTGTGACCTTCTCTCTGTGACTCCACTCTTCTCAAGGTACAATCTCCAAAACCATTAGTGATCCTCTCAAAGAAATCTCCAGAGAAGCTTCTGCTTCCACACCCAACAGATCTGGACCTCGACACTTTCCTCTCGCTTGGTGTGACTGTTGTTGCCGTAACCACAACGTTAGGGCTCCCATCTTCCTCTACAATCACATCAATGCCGTTTCTGTTACTACTCCCACCTCCAGTTGCTCTCTTTGACATAGAAGAAGAGGTCGAAGAAGACGAAGAAGATCCCGCCGTTGTCAAATCTCCCTTCTCTGTTTTCGACAAAACGTTTTCAGTCTGGCTCGTGGGTTGTGTTCTCGTCGTTGTTGTCTTGGAAGAATCATGAAAGTTTCCGACTTTCTTGCTGCTGCTATGGTGTTTGTAAGAGTGGAGATGCAGAAAAGACCAAAACCCACTCCGTTTCCTCGGGCTGAAGTCAGAACCTCCGTACGCCGACGTCGTCGTCGATTGGCTTCGCTTGTAGACGATATTCGCCGTCGATGAGGAGGAAGTCGAAGCTGTCAACATCTTCTTCTTCTTCTTCGCCAGCAAAAAAGGAAGCTTGTTGTTGTTGTGGTTGTTCGTGACGTTTCTAGCTCCGGCGACGGAGAGGGAGAGAGAGGCAGAGAGGTTAGCGGCGGAGGCGGTGGTGGAGCCTAGAGAGTCAGATCTGAAGGAAGGAGAGGAGGAAGAAGAAGAGGAAGAGAGGTGTTTTGGGAGTGGGAAAGAGGAAGTGACGAGCTTTCCGAGTTTTTCTTGGAGACAGAAAGCACAGATCCCACCTGGGTTCTTCGTGAAGGGATGGTTTATGCATTGCATCCCATCACCCATGTCTTGATCTTTTGCCTCCACCATTGAATGACCAAATCTTATTTTTCTTCTTCTACTTCTCTTTAGCTCCTCTGTTTTTCTTTTTGTGTATGGATTTTTTTGATTCTCGAGACTGATTTTTCTCTGTTTCTGTATGTAAAAGTGGGTAGAAAGATTCACGGCATCTAAAATGAAAAAATCAGCTTTCAGTAGTTTTATTTTTTTGTTTCTCTTCTTTTGAGAGAGAGAAGAGAGAGAGAGAGATTGATTGAGAAAGAAAATGGAGGAGGAAATGAAGGGGGGAGAGAGAGTGGGTTAGTGCAGAGAGTCTGGAGAGAGGAGGGGTCGAGTTCCCAGGTGCACGTGGGATCCTGACTTCTTTCTTTCTTTCTTGGCCTCTCACTCTTCTCTCACTCTCTCTCTCCCCTTTGTTTTTGTTGTTGTTTAGCTCTTCAAATCTTCCAAAAGTTTTCAACATTAATGTTTTTTTTTTTTTACACTCTTTAATCAAATTTAGGATGGACTAAAAAGGCTTATGGTCCATTATGTACCCCCCCACAGCGACGTGGCTTTTTCTTTTTACTATTTCCATTACCATAACTAAATCCAGCTTTTGCTTGCTTTCACTAAATTTCCCGGAGCTTCTGGCCAAAGTTAACTTAGCTTATCTATAATTTCTAGGAACTAGTATTTACTTGACGAATACCCGTGTATACGTTCAGGTTTCTTTTGCATTTTATAAGAAAACAGTCATTTAAAACTTACCATGAAGCAGCCAATAAAAATAGAAGACACCCCTATGGCCCTATTAGTAATTACAGTGATAGAATGGCTTGATTTTTACACACTGTTATCAACTGTTATGTTCACACCAAAAAATAAACTGTTATAGAATAAAAAATCAATGATGTTATTGAATTTGATCTTGTTGAAGCTGGCTATAGAAAAGAACCTTTAGAGCGGCAATGTGGTACTCAAGTTTCATTTGAGAAAAAAGGCGAAGATCTAAACAAATGTTAACTTCTAGATGATGAGCTCTACATAGAGAATCAAGTATGTGTGATGAATTGGTTTCCTTCGAGTAAGAATGATGAATGGCCGGGCTCTGATGTGTGTAGCCTAGCTATTGTTTCATTCTTTCTATATCGAATGTGTGGATCTTTAATATTTGTAACTGTGTTGTTAAATTACAAACGGATATTAGACTTTACACTTCGGTATGTTTACAGTTCTCTTTTTTTTTTTACCTCATATGTTTACAATTATCTAGATAGTTCGAAACGAGTGGGAATATATATAATTGAGAATGAATAAGAATAGATAACGAATCGAAAAAGACAATATCAATATTTTTCACTCCAGAAGACGACATTTTCTTGGACTAGCCGCTGATTTCTATTGAATATTTGGTTGTAATTTGTAATATGACCAAAAGGTGACGAGATGTGGAGAAGTAGAAAGAAGAGATCAGTGGTCCATAACAACATTGAATTTTCATGTCTTTTTGAGCTTATATTACACCATTTGACCATTGTCTCGTCTCTCTCATAGACACGTCTTCTATTTGGTTGCCCGGTCCCCATCGATTTTTTTTTTTTTCAATTCTGTATACTCCATTTTACATATGATCAATGGTTATATCTTTGACACACACAAAAATGATAGAAGGTTATATTCTTCGACAAAAAAATATGGGGGCAGTTTATGAAATAAATTTTTATTTTTTAATTTAAAAATATTCTATACATTTAAACTAAATTGCAAAGAGAAAAAAGTTAATACAAATTTAAAGATTCAAAAAAAAAATCAACAAGTATAAGTGATTAATTTTTCCAGATAGTTTTTTTTCTCATAATGTCCCATTCGTTTTTTACCAGAACGATAATATGGGTACTGGATCGGAGAATCCAATGGTGGCTGTGACACTAAGCGTGAGTTTACAATCACATGCACATCTTTGAGCTTTATTCTAGAAAACGGAGAGAGCTTGGAAAGATTTCACGCCACATTGGGAGCACATTATCTACGAACTACTATTTCCTAATTTTATTTTATTGATCATTAATTGACTACATGCATGGGCTACAACAGCCTAGAGCCTACACATATAATACTATTATAGCTTCACGTAATAGTGTAACTTGATGGAGAGACCGAAATAGATTAAAATAAGTTAGCTACCTACATTAAAGGCTAATTTGCATGGACATGCTCGCAAGAGCCTGACCTCGCTCCATACATTACCGCTACTTCATCTTCTTTTTCTAATGCTTAATTTAAAGTTATTCATTTGAACCAAAATAAAATTTCGTGATACAAAATGCCAAAAAGTTTAAATATTCGCAAAAAATGGGATTAAACTAAATGATATTTATTATAAACTGGCAAACTACACAATCAACATTAAAAAATGTGTACATGGCTAATTAATAAAAGAAAGTTATTGATGATCAGTCTATTAATAAAAGAAAGTTATTGGCTGAAGCTGAAGAGACTTGTTTCGATTACCTTGTATATAACACAAACTTTACACAAACTTGTATGTTTTGGGTCTTTGCCAATTTTGATCGATGGTCCGGATTCCTTAGGCCTTTAGGCCCAGAGAAACTAAGGCCCAAATAATTCTCCCGCGTAAAGGAAAATAAAAACCTAAACTATCTTCCCTGAGAAGTTTCGAAACTTAGTCATCCCGCCGGGAAAAATGACCGTCGCCGCCGAAGAATCGACTCACCATGCTCAGAGACCTCCCACTGATAACGATATCGTCCGTCTAGCCCAGTACCACCATTGCCAGACTGGCTTTTCTCTCCCACCATACCTTCTCTCTCCGGCTTCCCACGATTCTCTTCTCTCGTACCTCCAATCTCGCTCTTCTTCACCCTCGCCGTCGAAACCTGTCTCCGAGTATGTCGTTGCTCTTTTATCTCTTATTTCTCTGTCGCCGAATACTCCGCCTCTCTCGTCTCTCCTCGCCTCTCTTCTCATCTCCTACACCCAAATCTTCAATGCCGGCAAAATTCCGAGCGATTCGGATTCCCTCAAGACGATTCAGCTCTTCGGTACTCTCTTACGATACTTACACATTAAGGAGCTGAAATCTGTCGTCGATTCGATCTTATCGGGTGTGTCTAGAGTTGTCACTGTCGATGACGCTCAGTTGTTTGATTTATTGCCTGTGTGCTTTGATTTATTGCGAAATCCGAGAGAAGCGAAAGCTAGTGAAATCGAATACGTTGATTCGGCGATAGATCGCGTTCTTAACTGTGAGTGGCATAAAGGGTTGTTGACTAAAATGGTTTCTCTTGCAAAGGAGTTTCCATTTCTGGATAAGGAGAGAAAGAGTGAATTGCTGGAGAAGGTGTTTTTTGGTATCAAGGGTATAGACTTGCAAGATCTGCCTTCACTTGTGTATCAATTGTTGGTTCTTGCTTCAAAAGGTTTTTGCAAGAGGGAGGTGATCGGAGGAGTTGTTGGTTTTTTTGGGTCCAAAGCCGAAACGAAAGTAGCCTCCGTCCTTAGACAGATCGAGGGAACCGTTCTTCTTCATGTGAATTTCGCAGTGAAGCAGGATCCTTCACTGGGGCAAGAGGTTGTGGCGTTAGTCAAATCCGATCTTAGGGCTTTCAATCATTTTACAGTTGCGGTTCTGTTTTCGGTTGCTAGGGTCAGAAAGTTTGGTGAGAACTCCTTGGGGATATTGAAAACGGCTTTGCTTACTACATACAACGATTACAGACTCTCCAAGTAAGTAGTAGCAAACTTCTTTTCACTGTTTGTTTCTTGATGTTTCATGAGGTGGACTCTCCTTTGCTTTATAGACATGTGACTAGGAGAAACAATTACGTCGACCTTTAGTGAAAAACAAATACACTATACTGTAGGGAAAATATAAACTTTCTTCATAAATAGGGTACATTTTACCAATGTTTTCATCAATTATATACAGAGATTGCAAGTGGCTACCTAATGAGCTGAAGGAAGAGAGTTTCCTGCATGCCAGATTGGTTGAAAAATCTTTACTAAGAGCGGTATTTTCCCCTGCTTTCTTACTTTCGGGTCCTGTTTATCATACCAGGGCATACCTGTAAGAAGATTAAGTAATATATTTTCTTATATTTTATTAGGTTAGTGAATGCAGATATGGGAGGGAGCATGTGGTTCCAAGTGTTATTCAGTTTGGCTTTATGTTGCTAGAATCTGTCGAAGAAGGTAGATCCAATGAGTTTGTTGATTCTAATGGCGTACTGGGTATTGAGAAGCTTAGCATTCAGATTCTGGGAACCCTATTTGAAGTCCATGATATGACCAGAAACGAGGTTGATAACTATTTTATACTGATGCCTTAAGTTTCTTTAGACTGACACTGAAACTTTTATGCTATTTCTTTCCATCTGTAATACAAAACTTAGTTGAGTGAATTATTTTGCAGATAATTGAACAATGCAAGTTTCGCATTCTTTCTTTGAAGTGTGCAAAGAGCAAGCCAATAGTAAGGTCAGTATCTTTTAATGGATACGATTGTCAACCATTTTTCCAAGTGCTGAGGAAGTTGAGCTTGTAGGTTATTAGGGTGTCTTGTCCAGAGATACTCACTTATCATGTTGGAATTTGTCCACCATCTTAAAGAGTTATTGGATTATTTCACTTTCATGGAGGGAAATATCAGCTGTTTTCTTGTTTCTGCTATTATCCCGCTCATCAAATTCAGCCATGAACTTCAGGTAAATTAAATTTGTTGCACATTCTCTTTTGTTCTATTCTCTTCTGCAAATCTGCTTCTGCTTGGAGTGTCTATTTGTAAGCATTTTTCCAATCTATGGAATTGGGAAGAAGAAACAAGCCTATACGCCAAGACCTCAGTTTAAACTTAACTTGATGATGCAGGACTATACCATTTTGGTGATTCGGAAGGCTATGTTTAGACGGGAAGATACAGTTCGTGTTGCAGCGACAAAGGTATTAACTGATCTTATACTTGCTGAGAAACAAGCTAAGAGAGACAGCTCATTTACTCTGCAAGACTCATCAAGCCAAGCCAGTTCTAGTCAGCACACTGAGATGAGCTCTATCGTGAGGGGAAACCTCTTTACTGAACTGAATGGGTTGCTTCAAAGATGCCTCTACCAACAGGTGTCTTTTTTCGTCCTTGATCACGAAAAATTTTCTTTCTAGAATTTGACGACCTTCTTAGAGCTCTTTGGTTCCTGTATGTAGGCAAAAGTGAAGGAAGTAGTTTATGATGGGCTTGTGAAATTAATCCTGATCGATCCATCAAGTGGAGGACATGTGCTGGACTTTCTTATGCCTCACTTTCTTCGTTTCTTCAGACAGGTAACTGTCAAATGCTTCATCCTCTCTCCACTCTGAGAATGACTTCGCCGCTTTTTTGTT